TGTGTGTGTGTGTTTGTGTGTGGGGGGGGGGTGCGCACCGCGCGCACGCACGCGTGTGTCTGACTTGGTATCGTAGCTTGACAGACTTCGACTACTTGTTGGCTGCCAGTGAGCATTAAACGTCTCTAGAAAAGTAGTAGACACTACCCATTGCTGGAATAGACGAATGCGATGGAGTTTCCTATCATGGGGTTTCATCCTCTTCAGACAGCCTGAGTGGCTTCTTTTATTTTTCAAGCTACCCTGCCAAGTGGATTTATATTCTTCTTTGCTTGATATATCGACCCCCTCTTTGCTAAACTGTTGAAAATTTCAGCAGCTAAAGAGTTGAAAATATTTTTTAAATTATTTTATTATCAGGGTGGGGAAGGAACCTCTGAAAATACTGGGGGTTTGCTTCGTCTTGGTTCAAAATATGTTAATAATAACGGTCTTTAGTGTGCTTAACAATGATCATATTGGTATTTGTTAATGACGAACAAAGGAGCCACTTACGTCAAAACTAAGTTGTTTCCACACCATTCACAGAAGAAAAGAATACCAAACTACAGGAAAGGAACGGAACATCTGCAGTAATAACGACAATGGGACAAAGGGATAAGGAAAAGAAAGTTCACATTGACTGATGTTATTTATGGAAAAGAAAGTTCTCATTGACTGAAGAGGTACAAAAATAGTGGCAGGGCTTGGATAAAGAAAAGTAAAGAAACTAAATATAATACGAATTATAGCGGGGGGAAAGAAAGACAGACAAAGAAACTGGGGTAAGAACGAGGAACAAAAAGGAGAATGAGAAAATAAAGGTAGTGGGTGGAAAAAGGAAATAGAAAAGAGTAGTCATGAGAACAAGATAAAAGGAAGCCAGTAAACCGAGGAAAAGAAAGATACAAAATGAATCGAGGGCAGCTGATCGATTTTTTTTCTTCTTAAGGAAGGGGGGGGGGCTACACACCGAAAGTCCGGATTAGGATTAGGCTCAAAACAATGGATTTCAAGTTGTAAGCATTTTTAGCTTCTTCAGCCTCTCTTACAACTATTTCACCGAATAAGAACCCACTAGAGCCTTATTTTTTCCCATACCGGGCAAGTTTGTCACCACAATTTCCTTATAAAATCAATCAATATTTTTCTTTATTGTCCGTTTTCTCGAAACGTGGATTTTTCTATATGCTTTTTTAAAAATACTCCACTATTTTTTAATACAATCTTCATGAAATTTTCACAGAATGAAGAAAAGATGTAACTCTAAATGTATGTAAGATGAATTTTTGATATATGGAATAGTTTTTTGTTTGTGGTGTTTGGAGAGTGGGTTTTCGTGGATTTTTTACAAATGTGAATACTACCTCAGGAAAAAAATTATAAAAATATTTCTAGTACGTTTAGGAAAAATTCATCACACACATTTGTAGATCTATTGTTTGCTAAGATGCATGCAAAAAAAAAGTATTTCCATGAAAAAGAAGTGCGGTATTAATTACGTAAGACATGTCAACAAAATCCAATATGGCCGCCGTATCCATGGAAACGAAACTTTTTTTTTCTCATAGTTGATTACGGATCTTAAGACTCCTTACTATGCTTGTTATAATATGTGTGAAATTTGGAAACATTTGATCCAGCGTGATACCCTTCAGCTGTAGACCCCCCCCTCCTTAATATTCTTTTATTTTTCAGAAAACCTTTGTGACAAGTGGCTACACTGGCTTACAAACAAGTAGCTCGGGTCCATAAGGCAGTGAATGTCATAGCCTAGTTCAGAACCATCTTTCTATCGACATGGTGGAATAAGGCGCTCGTACATTTTTGGGAGCGTGGACTTATTGCAGTGGTATGCATTTTCATTAAAAATTGTCTTGCTTTCGATGAACAAATTACCTATGTATCTTGAATAGAAATCGTGATGTCTGCAAATTGAAGGCGGACGTTGGGTTTGTCTGATTTTAGAGGTAGAATTATTAAGAAAATAGCCGCCAAAGTCTGTTGACTTTAAAACTTGAGAGTCCTTGGAAAATGCAAATTTACCTTTTTGTGCCTTAAATCGACGCTTTTTAAAATAAAATCTCCACATGTGTTTTAAATGGACATAATTTAAGGTGTTGAGCCAAAAGAGAAGAAAAATCGGAAAAAAGGTAAAAAAATTCCGCAATGTCCATAAAAATACCGATTTTCTTAATTTCTTTTTTTTTTCTTTCTTTTTTTACCAGCGCTTGATCACGAAATCTCATATCGTTTTCAAAGCAGAACAGCAGGAATGAGGAGACCATTGGTAATCCACCTCATTTGAACAAGTTAGTGTTGGAATAGAGGTGCCAATTGGAATAATAATAATAATAATAATAATAATAATAATTATTATTATTATTATTATTATTATTATTATTAATAATAATAATAATAATATCAATATTACAATACAAGTAAAAACATAATTTGTACGGAGAATACATACATCTTACCGTTGTGAACAAAAAGGTTGGGAGGTTCAAACTGGATATAAATTTTATATACAACTTTATCTTACGTTATGTTACTTATGTACAAATAATAAAGACTACAGCAAGCGAGTAACCCAAAAACTCGGCTAAATTGTTCCCGAGGATGGAGAAAAGATGCGGCACTTTCGTCATTTGCTTTTGTCACTTGCACTGCGGCAGGGTCGAGAGGCGCTTCCTGGAGGTCCGCTGTAAGAAAAAAAGAAAAGAAAATAATGATATTGAAAATGAAACTATTTTCCCGCAGTGCTTTCTCCTTCATTTTTAAGATTGGAGGAGAGGAAGGGGTAGAGGTAATACACACACAC